CAGGTTGAAGTAGAATCTAGTTAAGCTACTGGTACTAAATCTAATTCTAGAATAGATCTAGGAATCTAGATCTCGTAGCCTACTAAATCTGTTAGTGTAGCAGACACTGACAATATTAGTAGACTAGTAGTAGTATAACTTAGTATTTATAACTGAAGAACTGTGATACAATTACTCTTTCAACTAGATCTATTTGACAATCAAGAAGGCGAAAAGTGAAAAGGAAGAAGGAAACGGGATCGAGAAAACAAAGAGCTGAGTTAGCTAAACTCGTGAGTAGTGTAAACACTGTGGGTAACATTGTGTGAGTAACATTGTATTACCTGTAGTGGTCTGAGTCCGCGGCTACCGTCTCCTTCTACATCACCAGAGGAATCCACACACACACACAGCTGGTCAAAGCTGGACGCACGCACGGACGGATGAATGGATGGAGAGAGGGACGGAGAGAGAGACGAGTCTCCGACTCTGAGAACAGAACACAAAAGCGTCACCAACACCGTGAAATAAAGCCGATTGTGTGAGTGAGTCACTCTCGTCAAAGCGGTACTGTTGGTGAGTGATGAACCGTGGACTCCTCTCTCAAGAACTCACTCACTCTCTCAATCACTCACTCTCAGTCGGCACCGTGCGTGCATACATGATAATACACGGAGAACAATACCCCGACTTGTACTTTGTTGTGTGAGTGAGTGAGGTGAGCACGGCAGAGAAAGAAGACAGGGTGAGTGTCTTTTTCTTCTAGATCTAGAGACCTCTACTTCTACTGGGATTCCTTAGTTCTTCAACATCTTCATAGATCCCAACACCTCTCGATCTAAACCGTGCCTGCTCAGTGCCAGACTCCAGACGGTGTCGGAAACGAAGGAACAGGCAGAAGGATAGACCGGGCTACACACATAAACACAAGGTACACACGTACACATACACGGACACACACACGCGCGCGCGCGAGACCGAGTATATGAAGCGGTGGTGGTGCTGATGGTGGTGGTGCCGGTCTGTGAAGATCTCAGCACGCACGCACGCTCGCTCGCTCGCTCGCTCACTCCAGGTTCAGGCAACACCGACTCACAGAGAAGGAAGGAAGAGTATGGCAGCAGCTAGCTAACTACTAACAGCAGATGTAGAGGGAAAGAAGGGTGGCGGTGGTGGGGAGGTGGAGGAGGAGATGGGAGAGGAGAGGGTGTACGAGAGGGAGAGAAGAGGGAGGGGGGACGGGTATTATGTCGAGGGAACCGAGGGAGGAGTGGGCCGCGGCGGTGTCTGGGCGATTTCAGAGGAGGGAGGTAACTCCCCAACTCTTTGGCCTGGGAACTGTCGATGGTCGAGTAGCGGGGTTGTCTGTCTGCGGTCTCTCGGCACCAGCAGCATCCTCGCGCGGCGCGAACGAACCAACTCTCTTACACTACCCGCGCTACACCCGCCTTGCG